CCCCTCCCTGGCCGCCGCCCCCCCTCTAGATCCCATCTAGAGGGGCCGGCCCCCCTTGCCCCTTCCCCTATAAATAGAGGGGTGAGGGGAGGGCTGCACACCCAAGCCAAGGCGCAGCCCCTCCCCTCCCCAACACCTCTCCCCCTCCGTTGTGTGCTTGGCGAAGCCCTGTCGGAGTACTGCCTCTCCACCATCATCACGCCGTCGTGCTGCTGCTGGAGCCTTCTTCCGCAACCTCTCCTTCCCCCTTGCTGGATCAAGAAGGAGGAGACGTCGCCCGTACCGTACGTGTGTTGAACGCGGAGGTGCTGTCCGTTCAGCACTTGGTCATCAGTGATCTGAATCACGGCGAGTACGACTCCATCATCACCGTTCCCTCGAACGCTTCCATACGCAATCTACAAGTGGTATGTAGATGCAAACTCACTCCCTTGACTCGTTGCTTAGATGAACTCATAGATGGATCTTGGTGAAACCGTAGGAAAAATTTTAATTTTTTGCAATGTTCCCCAACAGGTGTTTGCCAGAACCAGCCCATCCTTGAGGCCCCGTGCCTCGGCTGTCGCTGCATCTTGGACAAACGGGATTTTGCTCGTGGATGCCGCAACGAAAGAACCTGTATAGTCCCATATGATGGCCCCGGTGCCGCCGGTGCCACTGTCAGCATCAAAAGAGGCGTCGATATTGAGGCTGACAAATCCCTCTGTTGGTCTCGTCCATCCAAGTCTTCGTATCCTGCCCGCACCATGCTTTCTTGCCCTCAAGAAGTTTTTGGTCAAAGTAACAATGGCCTGGGCCGATCTTCCAGGTTCTTGGATGGGCTCACCATGGGTGAATCTTCGTCGTTCCTACCATATGTACCAAACCGCCACAGCCGCCAGCTCCTTCATAGGCACACCCTGGAGTGACGGAACCGCAACGCTTGGCATTAGCAACAGGTCACCAAGGACAGAAGATCCCTCCATCTCAGTTTCGCACAGCTCGCTTACAGTGTGGAGCAAGCCCAATTTTGCCCAAATCTCTTGCACTTTGTTGCATCTAAAAAAAGAATGACGAATACTCTCACAATCCGTGGCACATATCAGGCAGTCGGAGATTGTTATCATATGTCGATTGGCCAGAACTCCCCGACAAGGGATTGCACCATACAAAGCTCTCCAAACATGCACCTTGATCTTTGCCGGTATTTGAAGTTTCCAAAGAGTGCGCCATACTGCACCTTGATCCGTTATTCTTTATACTAGACCATAGTGGCGCGCGTTGCTGCGCCCGTCGATTTTTCTATGAAATGATCGGAATTTTTATAAATATATGAAGACATGAACCATAAAAGTAAATTTGCATTAAGACCAATAAATATCTCAGTAATTATTTTTTTGCGGGTGATTAAATATCTTTTAGTAATTAAACATATAAAATCAGTTGATACTGAGCGAAATAGTGCAAAGTCAATTTGAGCCTTGTGGGTATTTAGTTAGGACTGTCTATGGATAAATGTTCGATTTTTGTTGTGCATCCTACCCGCCATCTTGTTAGCCTTTAAGTCCAGGTGCATTCGGCCTTGCAACGTGCTCCAACTTCCCTATTTGTATAAAAAGACAACATCATAGTAGTTCCCTACTAATTTTTCTTGTATTTAAGCATTTACAGAGCTATAATATATTGTCTTAATAGCACAGATGAACACCTCTTGAAGAATCAACAATCAAAACAATGTACCAGTTTAGGGTGTATTCCTAAATTATGAACGCAATATTGAAGGATGATTCTTAGTCTTCACAACATGTATATTCAGAGTAAATCACCACATATATTTCACTCCGTATATATTTAGATAACTTTACTACATATTCAAATAATTCACACGACACAAATTTTGAGTATATGGCGCGGCATTTGATAACACAGTTGGTGAGAGTGCAAATCCGTTTCATCAACCAATGCTACATAGCAAGTCTGTTTCATCAACCAATGCTACCTGCAGATTTTCAACCTTTCACGAGGTAAAAGATATGGACCAAACATATAATTATTGGCAGTGGGATTCCTTACCCCTTACCTTCGAGTAGTTTTAATCAACCATTAGTTGTAAAGCCTATACAAAAAACACTGGGGCAGAGAGGAAAGAAATTTGATAAATTTGGAAGAAAATTATAATTATGCCACTAAGTTTGATTTCTGTTGTGGGAATCCTTTTTTTTCTTATAGTTTCAGCAATTTGTTCTGTTATAGTTAGGAAAGTAGAAAAGGCACCTCAACTTTCAGTTTTTTTTGTGGGGTACCTCAACTTTCAGTTTGTTCCAAGCTTATGCAAGTTATCCAACAAGATATCTTCCTGCAAAAAAAAATTGCAACACGATATTACACTTTTTGTGTATATAATAAAGTTGGGATAAATAATTAAGAAAGGAAATATACCTTATAAGGTTTGTTCACAATTACCATCAAGAAGGTCGCTGAGTTTCCTTCTGCTCACATAACACACTGAAACAATTCTTCTAGAGCCCTATAATTATCTCTAGAAAACTTCCGCAATGAAGGTTTCCATGCTCACTTTTTCGCACAGACGTGAATATTCATAAACTGAAACCACTCGCAGTTGATCTCATGACTGACAGGCTATTGGCAAATAGAGGATCCGAAGAAAACAGTAAGAACTTTTTAGCCATTGAATTCAACACCCTGCAGTAATAATATAGTCAAAGCTCGACTGGAATTGGTACGACAAGATATAGCCTGGTGCGTGATATTATACTCCACATCAAGAAAATCATGTATCATGAAGAAGTTGATGTACATGCCAAGTAGAGTAGGAAAAATTATAATGCCCTGATCATCATACTGCCAAAACATTATGAGAAGTAAGAATCTTCATATCTTTTTAGATCGAACATAATTAAGCTTAGTCTCAATCATTGATCAGAAATTCAGAAGCGTTGTAAGATTCTCACCTGACAGAAAAAAGGTTGTCCTGGCACAAATCAAGAAACCTATTATCCAACCAATCCAGAAGTAAATCAAGCAACAACAGTCTGACCTTGTTTGAAGATGCAACCAGAACCACCGTCGGTTGCACATAGAAGAGAAGGATATCGTAGGCAAAAAGGAGTGTGCCAGCGGCAGACAACAATGTTGGAGTAGATGATGCCAGCTTGGAGCCTTGGAGTGAATCCACGCAAAGCCATGGAGGCTCGGAAAGTCGTCGAGCGTCCGGACCAGGAAAGGCATCAGGAATCAGGAATTCAAGATCCAAGTAGAGAAATTACATATAATAAACCAAAGAATATACTCTATTAGGCTTACAAAGTAAAGAGAACGTAGGGAATCAGGCCACTAATTGATGCACCACCATCGAACTTGACCAGGGAACAGACCGCGGGCACACTGAATTACAATCAAATCATACAGGAAAGGGGGAGCTTTAGGAGACGAAGTATATAATATAGGCAAATCAGCAGGTTAGGAAAAAGAAACACACGCCTCCATTAATTGCCGCCGGCGAGTGGCGCACATCACCCGCCATGAATTCTCCATGGAACTGACAATTCATTGCCTCCTTCAATCTCGGCAAATCCGTTTCACTGGTATGGCTCAAGAATAGTCTGCCACCGCTTCGCCTGATCGCCTCTACCTGCGTAGGAGGCTCGAACCTGCTCGGTCGCATGGTTCGATGTGTGACGGGCAAGGCCGCGTGATCGCATCGCCTAGTTTGGCTCCCAGTCACTATGCGGGTCTTCATTCATGTCCATCGTACGTCGCCACGCCAGAGTTGCGGCCGAGCGAGCGGAAGGAGGGTCATGTTCTTTTCCTCTCTTTTTAGGCAAACTCGCGGCGTAGGTCCAAAATAATGTCAGGGGCCCAAAATTGTCACCGGAGCAGCGGCCCAGTACGGACAGCGGCCCACGCGGGATTAAAAGCCAGATGGACGGCCAAAAATGCGTACAAGTGATGATCCAACGGTTTCAAACGCAGATAGCCTGAGATGGCCGGAAAAGTGTTCGGTTATAATGTTTCTAAATGTCAGGAAAGTGCTGATTTTTGAAAGAAAAAGAGTGGAGTGGAAATAAACCAATGGATAAGAAAACCCGTGGGAGGTGGGAGAAAATAAAACCGGACGAAAATCAAATCGGAGTACCAACCTACCAACTGCTCCATTAGAAATAAAGATTAATTAAAGAGAAAGGAAAGTAAAAAGACTGGAAAGAACAGAGAGAAAAAACCAGAAAGGAAAAACAAAACAAAAAGCAGCAGAAATAACGAAGCAGCGAACGCGCATCACGCGCTGCCGCGAACTGGGCCGGCCCACCCGCGGGCCGCAAATAGGATCTGAGGACGAGTCCTTCTTGGGCCCACGTTATTTTGTTTCTACCACGATAAACAAACTCTCGGTCTCTCATCACCGTATATATATGGAAAAAAAAGGAAATAAATTTGGGTGCGTTCTTCTTCTTCCCCACTGTCGGCGATTGGTTTTCCGCCGCCGCTGACCTCAAAGTTCACAGTCCGTCGCCACCTTCCGCGCCCGGCGACAGCCACCATCGCCGTTCCCTTCCCCGCTGTCCGCAATTCCGGCAAGGTATGATGAGCATGCTTACTTAAACTGCAGTGACGCCCCCAGATCCGCCGCCGCCCCCAGTAAAGGAAGCAACTATCTTTTTGGAATCCACTTGCTCTGTTATGTTAGTAGGACCGTAGGGGTACTAGTATTAGAGTAGCAGTGAATTTAATTTAATTGGGTTTTTTTTCCATGTCCATTGCAGTTCTGAATGGGGAACATCCTCAATTTCACAACTGCTGTGACAGATCATTGCTGTCCAGGGCAACTATGCCGAGGCGGCGGCAGCAGCAGCAGCAGAATGGCAACCCATCAGCTCGAAGCGTTGAGCATTCTGGCTTTTAGAGCTTTATTATGCGAGCACATACAACAGCATGAAGCGTTCTGTCGAAAGCGGATAGGCAGCAGTCAGTTTCAACTGCTGAGCATTCTGCTTTGCGGAGCTGTCCATGCCAAGGGAATAGCGGCCGGCGATCGGTTTAAACTGTGTGGCATTCTGATAGTATGTGGAGTTATATCTGACCACATCATCTGTCACGACGCAAAGGAACCACATGTTGACCACCCAAGAAGCAGCAGCAGCAGCAGGATAGCAGGCCACCGGTTTGAACCGTTGATCATCCTGGCTTTCAGAGCTATATTGGAGCACATATGGCAGCATAAATCGTTTGTTCAAAAGCAGATAGCCAATGGCCGGTTCCAGCTCCTGAGCATTCTGCTCTGCGGAGCAATCCATGCCAAGGGAATCGTAGCAAGTGATCAGTGTAAAATGTGTGGCCTTCTGCTGTGCGGAGTTATGTCTGACTACTTCTGTGATGATGCAAAGGACCCACCGACTGATGTGCTTCGAGACCTTCCAGAGGTACTTTGTTAAAATCTTGCGCTCCAGCTCGTCTCTTGGTTGCAGATTACTGATTTTTACTTGCCTGCAACCATGATGTATCATTTTTCTGCAGGGCTTACTTTGGACAATTTTTTCAATGTTGCCTCTAGATGCGGCTGTTAGGACCAGTGCCTTGTCAAGGCAATGGAGATACTTGTGGACAGATTGTCCTAAACTGAGTTTCGATGGAAATACATTATGCAACAAGAAAAATCATGGGAAACAAGTATATACTCCCCTGTTCATTCACATTGTTAATAGGGTCTTGGAACAGTGCCGTGGCAAGTTTGTTGAAGAGCTCGCAATCAAAATTGAGCTGAACTGCATGTTGGTGGAATATCTTGATAATTGGGTCCGTTTCGCAGTATCATCTGGGACAAAGGCACTAGTTTTTGATTTAGCACCAGAAGAGCGTCAACTTGTAGGCCGTGATGATCGCTACAGATTCCCATTTGAGCTTTTAGACAAGGAAAGTATATGCCGTCTGCAGAAAATACATCTTAGTTTTGTAGATTTCCAGCCACCAATGCAGTTCAGAGGTTTCCCTAACCTACAGAAGCTTGACCTTAACTTAGTGAATGTCAGTGGGAAGGAAATTCTACATATGCTGTCAAACTGCTGTAACCTAGAGTGGCTGAGTATTGTTAGATGCCATCTCAATTGTGACCTAGAGGTTAACTGTCCACTGCCTCATCTGCTATACTTGAAAATTGTGTCCTGCATTATAACAAGTATAGCGTTTGATGCAGTGAACCTTGTGACTTTTAAATACAAAGGAAGGGCTGTGCCTATTGACCTGAGCAAATCATCAGAACTGGTATGTGCAGATATATGGTTTGGTAGAGTCACTTTTGGGCACGCTATTGCTGTACTTGCTAAAGTGCTCACAAGCGTGCAACATCTGACCCTTGATACGGCCTGTAAACCACAAAAGGTTTGCTCTTGAACCATCCTTGGAAGTCATGGACTATCCCTTAATAATTACCGCGTCATGACCTTTGGTTATCTATCTTTCAGATTCCCCGTTTGATGCATCACCGATGCGAGTTTTCTCAGATGAAATATTTACAGTTGAGGTTGGTCTATATTGAAGAATTCGATACCTTATCTCTGATCTCTTTTATGAGGTCTGCACCTTTCATTGAGAAGTTAGAGCTGCACGTAAGTACTCATATTGGATTCTTCTTGGTAGTCCATACATTTCTTTTTAGCATTATTGCATTACAGCTTCTTTCAAGGCACTAGGCATCTCATTTTTGGACTATGCCAAGTATCGTGCTTACAACTTAGAAGCACTTGTTCAAGTATAATACTCCCTCCGTCGCATAATATAAGAACGTTTTTGACAAATGTTCTTATATTATGGGACAGAGGGAGTACGTGATAAGCAAACTGTTGTGCTGGACAATTTATTTTATCTGTGTTATTGCATATGCTCTCCTGGAACTGATGGATGGAGATAGACTGTTAGGCTTGCTTGTTCTTTATACCACTCTCTTTGTTTTGAAGCTACTAGTTTTTTATTCAATCTAAATATTCCATGAAATAAAGCAACAGTTTGATAAAAGTCTGTCTGAGAGCATATGTTTTTGACATTCGATAATAGATACAATGGACGACGGATTAGTCACAAGCCTTCTCATTATACTTTTTTTTTGGTTCAAAATTGCAGTTTTGTTTTCCTGGTTACGTGCGTTTGGCACAAGAACTTGAACCTATCAGGAAGCTACCGGAGCATCTGTTCAACAATTTGAAGAGTTTACATGTTACAGGATTTAAAGCATGCATTGGCCAAGTTGAGTTACTTTCGCACATGGTGGAAAATGCCCCCGCATTGGAGGTTTTAAGTATAGATAATTCAGACAAATATCCCCTAGAAGGGCATGAAAAGAACGCAAAAACTGTCGTTGATTTGGTCCATAGAATTGTTAGAAGGTATCTTGAAGGAAAGATTTCGCCCAAGTGCACCTTAATATTACTTTAGGAGATCTGTTGGTGTAGGGATGCACACTGTATATCTAGTTAGGGATGGCAAACCTGATGAGGCAGCATCATTTAAGCATGTCTGCATTGTTCACTGCCATGTACACTTGCATTGTGACTTGGTTCTGCATGGGGCATTATAAATATTGAATGGGCATATTTCCCTTTGCATAAAGCTGCTATTAGCCCTCCCCTACAGGACTCCCTGTATACAACTCTATATTAACCTCGGAATTTCATGTTTCCGCTGCATTTTGGATGACATATCGGTCCTCTCTGCTTGACACGCTCATGTACTGACACAGGCCTTATCTTCTTTATCAGACACGTAGCCCTAGTTGTTATAGTTTCTTTTTCATCACGCTGTCTCCTCTCCCGTATATGCTATAGGGTGTGGTGCTGGGAGTTATCCGGTCGCCCAAAGCATTTCCGCGTAACCAGTAAGGAGTTGTCTGCTTCTGTATAATCCTTATATTTTTTTTTCTTCCTCTTGATTTACCGGCTGTTATTCCTCTGGTTACCGGTTGTGCTCTCCTCTGCCCCTGCTGGCCTGCGCCGGGCTGTGCACCTGCCTCCACTGGTTGAGCTTGCTACTTGCCTACTCGCGCAGGCATACAGCTGCAGAGCTGAGCTGATGCTCCTCCTTGCTCCTGTCTTATCATTTCTCCTTTTGTATCTGTCTAACTGAACCTTAAATTGGTGCAATTTGCTATGAATTTCATGTCATAGAATAGAAGATGAAGAGATATTATCCATCAGTGCCCAGCATCAAAGCTCATGGTTTCAGATTTGCATCAATTATGAGCTGTTTTCTTTAATGCTTATGCGTTGATTTCTTGAAGGTGTTTGTTCTTCTACTGTTGGTGTGGTCAGAGGAGACTCATATCAACCAACCCATCGAGTCCTTGTGTTATCTTTTGTTTCCCTGTACTATTATTTGTAGTTTTATATCAATCAAAGCATGATTTAAAGTTCTGATTCATTCTGCAATCGAGCATATACTAGCACATATGCCCGTGCGTTGCAATGGGAGAAAAAACTAAAATATACATCAAAGCACCTATCAACGTTGCCCGACAAGCAGGGTTGCGGGTGCCGAGGTACAGAAGGAAATTCATAGATGCTTTAATGTCCATTTTTGTAGTCCATGCATGCATGGCCACTGAATAAATAGGGACGGGGCAATTATATGGATTGGTTAGTTTTGCTTTAGCCATGAGAACCAGCATCTGATTGAATAGTTAGCAGGGCAGTGCTACCTCTGTCCTCATCAGGGATAAATACTCAGGTTTGACGCTTTTCTGTCTTTTAAAGACAAAATATTCTTTTAGTAGGAGGCGATGTTCTCGTCGATAGTGAGACGTTGCGGTGACTTCATTAATTTTAAAACTCGCCAACACGATATTTCAAATGTGCTCAAATAGGTACGATGTGCGTGTGTGCATTTTCGTAGGGCAGTGCTACCTTAGTCCCCACCAGAGATAAAGCCCCAGGTTTGACGCTTTTGTGTCTTTTAAAGACAAAATATTCTTTTAATAGGAGGCGATGTTCTCGTCGGTAGCGAGACGCTTGTGGTGACTTCATTATTTTTAAAACTTGCCGACACGGTATTTCAAATGTGCTCAAATAGATTGGATATGTGCATGTGTATGCATTTATAAGAGTGAGTGTATGCATGTGTCTGCATCTATTGTTATTGTGTTTGAGTAAAATGTTTTCCTTTACCCTTTGGATGCAGCAATTTAATCGTCGAATGATTTCTAGTGACTCATTTATGTTGTCACTTTTCATGTTCGCCAGTGTCGTTGATAATGGTATGATTTTGATGTTTGTAAGTGCTTTTTTTTTCTACAAAGCCGCATTCATGTCCTCTTACAATGTCTCATTCAGCTCCGCACCGTCATCGGATTAAAGAGTGGTGATATATTAAAATGTTCTTTTATAGATTTTTTAAAAATTCAAATGCAAGCGGGTTTTACAATGATGATTTTTCTAGAAACTTTTATTTATTTGGTTATTCCTTTTGTTGCACTATTTGAACTTTGCCCAAACACAAGCATTTCACGTGGACATCAGCTGTTCCGCTAAAACAAAAACACAGTTTGGACATACTGCACATCCCATCCATAATTGCAATTAAAAGGAAAACCTCGCCGCCGGCCGCATCACAGAAGTTAATTAAAGAAAGAGGCTATCCAACCAGTTAAATTTTTTTTAGACATATCCAACCAGTTGATGATACAACACCACGACCAACCCAAGCCCAACCAGCGACACGTCTCAGCCCAACCATCGACACGTCTCAGCGATTCACATTCATTTCATTTGGATCTGGAAACGTGTCGCGGCTCGTCTCCTTTAACCAGCCCCAAACCAGTCGACCCCCTTTGCTCTCCTCCCTCCCCCCATCTCGATCTCCTCCATCTTCCCTTCACAAATCCTCTTGTATCTCCATCTTCCCAAATCCCATATAGCCCCCTTGGCTGCAAATCCCGAGTAACCAAGCCGGAGACACCGCGGGGCCGCCGTTGCAAGAGGAGGACGGGGGTGTTGCAAGGCGCTGCCGCCGTCTCTACAAGGGCACTACTGCCTGGGGCAGTGACGCCACCACGATGGAGATGACGGGCTACAACTGCCGGACGGCAAGGGAGGCCGCTATTTCTCCCTCCATCTTCCTGTGATGTCTGCATCTAGCTTGCTCTACCAATGCAGCCGAGCAGTCTGTTGTTTCAAGGGCAGCCCCGGTTTCCTTTGGTCATTCTCTGAAATCTTGTGCAGCTTTTTGGCCGCCCCAGGTTTCCTTCGGTCCTATTCCTCACTCCATCTCCCTCGAATGTCTGCCTCACCCTGCATTCCCCTTCTAGTTCGTTCGTTCTTTCCCTTGCCCTTCCTTGGGAAGAAGGGTACATATGCCGTCGCCGGCCATCTCTCTGCCTTGCTCGAGTGGAGGTTCTGCAGGTTTTTGATGAGCGTGGGCTAGTGAGGTTTCAAGATCCCTGTCTGCTCTCTATGTCCCTCTTTTTGTTTCCTTCGTCGCACCGCCCTCGCGTCTCGCCGGCGTGCCGCGACGCCTCGCCCAAAGAGAGCACGTCGGCCGCCTATCGTCCTCTGCCGCGACGCCTTAGCCCGCCAAGGCCAGCGTCGAGGCCGACAAGGCGCGCAGAAAATCCAAGGGCCTCACCAAGTAGACAACCACTGCCAGTGCCCCGCCTCGCCGCGCCGTCTCCGCCGCACACGCCCTGGCTCCATCCTCCCACGCGAGGCACGGTGGCTGCCGGCGCAGGCCGCGCCGTCTCCGCCGCGCACGCCCTGGCTCCATCCTCCCACGCGAGGCACGGTGGCTGCCGGCGCAGGCCGCGCCGTCTCCGCCGCACACGCCCTGGCTCCATCCTCCCACGCGAGGCACGGTGGCTGCCGGCGCAGGACAGAATGGATAAGACTACAGAGAGGATAGCGGGTTGAATTCAAATAACTATAGGGTCTTTTTTGTAAATGTGAAACGTTTTTCTACTACGCCACTAAAACAGGGATTGCGGGTTGATTTCATGTAAACTGAGGGGCTTTATTAGTAGGGAAAGATAGGGAAAGATGGTTTGACATCAGGCATTTCTTGGTAGTTATAAGATCTTATTTTTGATCTGAGGCTGCTCCAGTCCTTGCTGAGCCACTGGGCAGAGACACTCCATGATTGCTACTGCCAGGGCATGTGGGTTTCGGCACACCAACGCATCAGGCTCTTCATCTTCCAGGAACCTATGCAATCTCTTTCGCTAGCACCAAGTGTGCCTGTTAACTCCAACCATGATTTGGTTTTGGTGCATTGCATCCGCGTTCTTGCCCTTTACGTGTTTGGTTTGTTTCTTTGTGCAAATAGAGGGACCTGTTGTAATCAGGAATTATGCGAGATACATTGTAGATGAGAATGAAGAAATCACAGGAGCATGATGTAGTAAGTTCCATCCCTATTTATTTTTCATGTGTATGAAATCCCTGATTTGTTTAGTTTATGCATCTGATGTCTGCACTTTATTTGTAGGCTGCTACACAGGTAACTGTGAAGAAAAATGCGTTATTGTTTTATTGTGCAAATTAGTTTGCACATTAATTATTTATTACTACTAGGCTGGCCACTAATTTGGAGTGTAATTTCTGATGTATGCACTAACTGCCGACCCTACCGGCAGTATTATGGAATTATATATGAGCTATGCAAAAAACCAAGTTTGTTATTCGGCAGATGAATTGCAGAAGTACACTTAGATTTTATCTGGTTTCGTAACAGTTATCCTCTGTGTCCCTTGAATGCAGCCCCCCCTCTCGAGATACAGGGCTTCAACATGACTCAGGACTCCAGATTCACCATTTAATCTCCTGCCAGAAGCACAAAGGCCTCCTATCATTGTGGATTGTTATATTGTGTTCTCTAAATTACATAGAGCTGAAAGAGGAAAATGGTATAGGATATCTCTGCGTTGATACTGCATAAACATAGCTATGACTCATACATGCCTGGAAAGAAGGCACACTAGGAAGTATTTGTATCTTTCAATTTAGGATTGTTTTTGTCTAGCTCTTACCGACAAGAAACTCTACTCACAAATCATCTGTTTTTTTTTCAGTTGTTGGCCTCACTAACTAGGCTAATTAAAATGCCGAGTGCGCACAGATCATTGGCTTCATGAAAAACATTTGATAGGGTCTATGCAAGCACGAATATCAGTAAGAGATATCTTTTCATTGTTATTATATCACACTTCTGAACTTCTTTTGCAGCACTACCGCGCTTGGTTGTCCTCACCCCCGCCCCCCTGGCTGGGCAGCGTTGGTCAGGGTCATAGAGAAGCCAGCTGGAGGAGGTCTTCTCAACTTGGTCGAGGCGAGCAGCACTAATGCAATCACCATTGCGCATGCCATGACACTGGCGAGCAGGCCCAGTGGCAACCACAATTGCTGAAAGCTCCTTCCCGGCTATACGACTTGCCCACTGATGCTCCTCCTTAC